GGACTGCAGAGAGCCAGGCCTGGTTTTCTGAGCTCCCCAAGTAGATGGCCGGCTGTGGTGTGAGCTCTGAAGTCAGGAGGAGACAGCCCCTGTCCTAGGCCAGGATCACTCCACAGAGGCCAGCCCTTCTCCACACAGCCTTGTCTGCCCACTAAGATGGATGGGATAGGCCCTAGATCAGGCAACAAGTCTTGGGTTTCATATCTACCTTGGAAATCAGAGACCCCCGAACCTAGGACTCACATAGCACACAGCTGCCAGCTCCTGACGTAAGGTTCCACTTTCCAAAGTGGAGGATGAGGCCTTCTGAGGGTTGACTCCATTGTCATAAACAGTGAACTTGGTGCCCATCAAGTTGGACCTGAAATAAAGGCACAATCGGTATACAGTCTTGCACCCTCTGCCCCAGAGCAGAGAACAGCTCATCGTCTGTTCTATGAGGAGCCTGCAAAACATTCTGGACTGGGCCAGCAGCAGGCCCAGGGAGGCACACTGCTCACTGAATCCACGTCTTTGAAGACACTTCGTGGGCAGAAGGCCTGAACTTGCTCTGAGTTGACTCAAAGTGCATTTCAGTTCGGTGAGAGCAATTCGGGGAGGTAAATCAGGATTCTTCAGAAGATTTATCTGGGGGAACATGGGAGTTCTCCTCATGGGAGGTGAGCAAACAGAATGGCATCTGATAAGACAGTGGAAGAGGCTTAGCACCCATGGAGAGAGGATGAGATCTCCCCTGTCACAGCCAGCCTAAGTCTCAGTCCAGCCCCATCTCCAGCTTTAGCTCCTGACCTCTCATGTTCATTTATGCTCCCCAAATCTGGTACTCTGTTTCTCAGCAAACCCTACCTCCCCACCACCCCCACTTGGAGGCCTAGGCTCAGAGCCTTCCTGCCCCTTCCCCACTGCTCCCCACCCCCAAGACTGCTGTGTGTCTCTTCCCTCAAGAGCTTACTCTTAGCCCTGTCCCTTGGCATTGACTATGGAGCCAAGGCAGCTCTTCCATAGTGGCCTGCATTATCAGTGACATCCTGGGGTTGGATCCATCACTCTCAGTGGACCTGCACCCACCTCCTGGGAACAGCTTGGGGTCGGGTGTGTGAGGCCCATCTCCAAGTCTGGCTCTAGGCTGGCATAGACATAGGCCTCCAGTTGGATGTGATGATCAGAGAGGATCCTGGGAGAGTATCCATCCCTGGCCTAGATCTCCTTCAGGGAGATTCAGGCCCTCTAGAGAGAGCCTGCCCCTGCCCCTCCCTCCCACTCCCGCCTGCTTCCTGGGGGAATGTTAGTACCGCAGTTTCCCGATGTAGCTGTCCCCTCCTCGAGACAAGTCTGTTGGGTCCACAGAGATGAGGTAATTGGAAGTTTTACTCTTCTTTCTCTTCCTTCCCGCCAGGAGGAACACCTTGGGGAGTGGAACGAGGTCATATTCCAGACTCAGCCTCTGGTCTGCACACAGTCATGAGATCCACTCACACAGACTGTCTCTCCCTTGCTTCAGCTCCCAAACGCACATATGTGCACACACACAAATGCACTGGAAAACACAAAGATATGCACTGACCAGACACGAAGGCAGTTTCTTTGAGGAACTGAGAGGTCAGTGGTAGATATGAGATTTCCAGTCACATTTCAGCCCCTAGGACTTCAAAGGGCTGAAAAGCCTAGATGATAACATGCCCAGACCAACCCTACCTTCTTCCCGTCCTCACGGTCCATGTGCAGAAAGTAAGTGGGGTACATGCCCCGGTCCATCCCTTTCTTGTCCCGAGTGATGCGGCATTTGATGGTGATACCCTGGGGGGCTGGCCTCAGTGCAAACTCCTCAAGATCCTGGACCTCGACATCCACTGGTTGCTCTGGAGCTGTTGGGCTAGGGGCTGAGGCTGCCTCCTATGGGGACAGAACAGGCGCCTGAGTCCCAAGGACCCTAAGCAGCCCAAATTGGTGATCTGAGATCCAAATCTGCCTCCTAATGTGGCGGTGGGAGAGAGGGAAGGATCCTGGGATGGGGGCCTGGCCAGCCTGGGCCTGGGGTCAGGAGCTATCTTCCCAGCCCTGCCCTCTTCTCAACAGTTCCTAGAGGTGGAGATGGGAGATATGGGAGGTCCTCAGAGGTCATCCTGTCCAACTGCAGCTCCCCCTACACATCACCCTGCTGGCCTAGCTGAAGAGGTTAGGAGGCAAGGTGGAGGGAGGGACGTAAGAGGCCAGCAGAGAAGCTCCTAAAAGGTGTATGAGTCCAGCCCCAACCCCAAGAAAGCTAGCTCCCCATCATCTCTTCACACGAGCTCCACCTCTAATTCTGATGAGCAGTCCTTCAAAAACTGCTGCAGATGCAGACTCACTCACTCACCCTGACGGACTTCCTGCTAGTAGCAGAGCTGGGGCGGGTGTTACTATTTAGCTGGGAGGAGCTGGAGCTGTTCTCCTCCTCATCGTCCTCATCCTCTTCAAAGCTCATGCTGCTGGAGATGCCTGGGCCAAGGAGAGAATAAGAAGGGATGAACAAGGAGAAGTCTACCCTGCCCCTGAAATACACAATGGTCACATACGTTCAGACACTGACTCACCTATACCCACACTTATGCACATACTCTTAGCCATATGTACACGTACAGACTCACATTCACACATACATTCCCACACATGTCCAGATATACAAGGACCTTCTCTCAGGTGCACACATGAGCCGGGGCTGGCCACAATCCTCAGGATATGTCCCCACCACCCAGTTTCAGCTCAGTCCCTACATTACCCCGCTTCCTAGCAGCCACCCTGCCACTGCCTCTTGTGTATCAAGGCCTGCACTGAGCTCACCTTGAACTGGGAACCTCCATTTCTGACCTCAGGCCTATTAGAGGCCTTGGCTGGCATAGGCCACAGAATCCGCCAGGCCACAGAATCCGCCAGGGCACAGGCCTCAGCTCCTTAGCCCAATGTGGAGGAGACCCACTAACCCCTCATCTTTGCTCTGAGCTTCTATCTTAGCTGTCCTCCCACCCGCCATTCCCCGGGAATGCCATCCCCATCCCCAAGTTGTCTCCAAGTCCTTTGTACAGGAAGCCATCCTTGATTAGATTCCTCACAATGTGTGTGGTGCTGCCAGACTTCTTCCCTCTGCCACCCTGCACCAGGGGCTCCCTAGGGCACGGCTTGTGATGGGAAAACTGAACAGAAGGTTTCCAGGGAGGATCTACCCCGCCTCTTGGTATCCTGGCCCTGCTCCCACTAGCTTAGCAGACATATAGGAAACTTCTTGCAAAAGGAGCTTTATCTAAGGAGCAAAAGGAAAACGAAATCTGCCCCAAAGCTGGGCCTCACTGGGGCGTTATCAGGTGCCCTGCCTAAGAGGTTCTCATATGTCTCCAAAGTGTGCCCCACCCCCACCCATCATGGCCAGGGAGGGGCTTGGACACAGGAAGGCCATGCTCCTGGAGAAAGGAACATCTGAGAACCTGGGACTAAGTTTTGGGGGGTATCACTGGGCCCCCGTGGGGCTCACCCTTCCTCTGCATCGTGGCACGGAGATCCTGCCCACTGGGCCGTTCGCCCCCACCAGCTGCCGTCTCCCCTGCGTCCTGGGCGTGGTCTGACTGGCCCACAGTCAGGATCTGCACTGGGCCTTGGGCCTCAGACTTGTCTTCTGCCAGTGTTGCTGGCCCGCTGGTGCCTGCAGGCCACGGACACTCCTGAGTTACATCCAGGAGGAGGAGAGGAGGGCCTGGATTCTCAGACGTCCGTGAAGGGGATGAGGGAAGAGTGGGGAGACCCTCTGCAAAACTTTATTTACAAGACTGATTTTTATAAAACTAATGATTGAGGCAACCTGTTAACAACTGGTAAGCTACTAAGGGATGTGGGCTTCATTTCTTCTGCTCTTCCCCCAAGTTAATTGCCGAGGGTTGGTTTACAATACCTCGCATCCTTAAAGCAGATGGCAGCCATCTACAAAACCAACTGCACAGTGGAAAAAACAAGATGGAGAACAAGGATTGATCCAGACCACAGCCAAGGCCAGTAATCACTCATGGACACGGCCAGCTACAAGTGATCAATGCTGGTGTTTTCTTTCACAAATATACACACATACACACATGCAGTAACTCACATACATCATTAGAAGCATGGGCCCCTTGAAAAAGATTGCAATTGGCATACACTTGCCTTCCCAAGTGGAGCACCTCCCATCCCACGTCAGCCTTCCTACCTCTTACCACAGAGCTTCAGTAACAGAAGCAAGGCCTGACCCATACAGGTGGCAACCACCCTGCCCGCCTGCTGAGCTATGCCCAGAGTGCTTGGTCAGCTCCAGAAGCCCATGGCCCCTGACACATCACTGTCCAACCAAGATGCGGTGGCCTGGAAACCACTGTCCATGAACAAAAGTTGAGGAAATGGGGTGTGTAGCCAAGAGACAGGACCTGGGGCAGGTGCCACCATCACTGTCCTTAATCTTTAGGGGTCTTTTCTGGAGAAAGAGGAGCAGAGGGAACAGGCTGGTCTGTGGTCCAGAGGATGGAACCTGGACTACAGTCAAGGGAAGTCCACATTATATGAAGAGCTGACAGCGAGGGCTGCACAAGGATGGGGCAAGCTGCCTGGGAAGCAGCACCCACTGCAGTGAGTGTCCTAGTCCAGGCTGGGTGAGATCCTCCTTGAGGGGTCGTGATAAAGGGTGCTCAGGCCAAGGTAGCTGAGGTGGGGGACGGTGGTTCTGGGCCACAGCTGAGTAGGACTTCACTTCCTGGCGGTGTGGTGGGCATGCCCACCCCCAGAGGCAGCCCGGGTACCTCCCAAGCTAGGTGAGGCCTGTGAGCCACCTGGTGGGGGTGCCCCGAGTGGCAGTCTGTGTCTTCCCTGAGGCTGTTCATCCCATCCCTCCCCTCCAAGTCAGGAGGACAAACCTTCCCCAGCCCTACAGTGGAGTCGAGGCCTGCTGGGGAGGGCTGTAGAGAATGCAAGCTGACCTTTGTGCTTTCCCTTCTTCTCCTTCCTAGCGGCGCCACCCTGGCCCCCTGCTGTGGCTGCTGCCTTGGTTCTCTTGGCTGAAGCTGGTGCTGTTGGGCGTGTGGCTCCCAGCTGCACACTGGCGAGTGAGTCGGCCTCTTGAACTGCTCAGGAAACATCCCCAGATGGAGAAAGAGAAACAGGCACTGGGTGAGACCGGAGCTCCCACCTGAACACAGTCCCCAGCACAGCATTTTCAACCATACCCTGAGTCCCACCAGGGCCCCTGTACCACTTCCACAGCCCACAGAATCAGGCCCACTCACCTCTACTAGGCAAAGATTCCAGGGCAGGCCCAGCTGGAAGGAGGCAGCACCCCCAGCCCAGTGTGATCAAGTCAACAGCCAGACCAACACCTGTGATCAGCCAACAAACTAAGCACTCAAAGTTCTGGGCCACCAAACCGTACTGAGCCTGAACAGAGGCAGGGAGAATGTCCAAGAAGATATGGCCTCTGAAGATGGTGAAGGAGGAACAAAGGCTGCATCTTCTGGAAGAGACCACAACCAGGGCAAGCACTCCAGGGAGCCTATGAGGGGGCTCTGCAGGGATGAGCCCATGGGAGGCTGGGGTATAGGAGTGCTCAGAACAACTCTGGGATACAAGAAGCTACAAGCACCAACAGTGAGGTCTCAGAAGGGTTCCGGCTGGTGGCCTCCAAATTCTCCCAATCTGCTCAAAATCCTTGAATGGTTTCTGATTGCTCTTAAGATGAAGACCGACATTCTCTCCCTTCCCCTAGGTCTAAACACATACTCCCCACCTCTGGAGCACCAAGAGTTGCAGCCACACCAGGCTGGTCTGGTGCCTCACATGCACGGCACTCCCTTTTGCCACAGGGCCCTTGCTCCTGCTGCCTGCACTGCCTTCCCCCTCACCCCCCTCAGTGATCAGCTCCCATTCATCCTGCAGATTTCAGCTTGGATGTCACCTCCGGAGGGAAGCTGTGCCTGCCTCCCTAGTCAGCGCAGGTGTTGTCATCTATTCACAGAATTTGGCTTCCTTCCACAAAGCACACCCATGACGGTCTGTTTAACATTGTCTCTCCACCTAGACTGTAAGGTCCATGAAAGCAGGGACCACACCCATTTGTGCTCACTCGGGACCTACAGCCTCTAATCCAGAACCTGACACAAACCTCAATAAATATTTAAGAAATGAATGAATGTGTAACATGAATGAGTATACCCAGCAGGTCAAAAACCAGGATGAACTGTGAGCTCTGATGTATATCAAACTCCCTCCTTTTCCTCTTGGAATGATCCCCTGTATTTGACGCCTGTAGCCAGCAGAGGGCAGAGAGGGAGGCAGCTAATGCTGTAGGTGGGTGGGAGTGGCCTTCCAAACACCAGTTCCCGGGTAGGCCACCCACATGTGCAGCAGCCTCCCAAGAGCTTTGTCCACCATTTGGACCTGGACAAAGACTGGGCCCCCAGAGAAGCAGTAGGCACCTCCCAGAAGTCAAATGTCACATGTTCAAATGTCCTCTGTGAAAAAGGTGGAGGCCCAGCCCAGTCTGGCATGTCAGCAGGGAATAGCCATCAGCTGATTTTGGACTTTGGAACACACCATGGCTCCTTCGAGTACCAAAGCCCTAAGACAGAGAACTCTCCCCATTTTATAAGGGAGGAAACAGATCCAGAGAGGGTAAATGGCGTGTCCCAGTCACAAGCAAGCAGGTAACTGGTAGGGGCACAACCAGAAACTATCTTTTTCCCCTTTTTTTTCTTGCTGGATTGCAGTGGCACGATCATAGCTTACTGCAGTCTCGAACTCCTGGGCTCAAGTGATCCTCCTACGTAGCTGGGAATACAGGCGCATGCCACCACACCCTGCTAATTTTTTTTTTAAAGATGGGGTCTCACTATGTTACCCAGGCTGGTCCTGAACATCTGCCCTCAAGTGATCCTCCTGCCTTGGCCTCCCAAAGTGTTGGGATTACAGGCGTGAGCCACCTGGCACAGAAACTGTCTTTTGACTTCAGTCCTGCACTTATGCCAGAGGTGCTACTTGTACCACAGTCTTTCTGATGACCTGGCATCATCTGGAACACAGCTGACAAGAAATACTTGCCAAAATGACTGCACATCAATGACCTCTCATGATGTTGGCCTCTGGCACAAATTGGCAGGGCCCACAATCCTGGGTGCAGGCCCCCATTCTATATGCAGCCTCACTCACCCAGCTGCCAGGCTTGGCAGAGCTGGGGCTGTGATGCCACACAGCCACAGGCCACATGCCATGTGACCCAGAACAGTGGCCACCTTCCTGGCAGGGTACCACTACCACCCTTGAGATGGCATTCACAAAGGAAGTGGAGGAGGTGGCTGCCAGCAAAGGGTGGGGCTGGGGCCAGCTCTGTGAGGACCAGCTGGGGCTGCCTCTGAGACAGCTGGGCTGAGGTCCCTGTTCCCCTTTTCTGAAGGCCTCTCAAGTAGAGTACAGACATACCAGGTATGGTCAGGGTGCTGAACTGACACACACACGGGAATTAGCATGAAGGAGCTTTTCATCAGGGAGGCAACACAATATGGAGGAGAGACCATTTGGCGTCTGTTAGGTCTGGGTTCAAAGTCTAGCCCTGCTGCTCACTAGCAGAGTACTATGAGCAGGTCACTGAGCCCCTCAGAGCTCACGTCCTTACTGATTATGTGTGGATAATGCTTTCCTGTGAGGATGAAATGAGATAATGCAGGTAAAGCCTCTAGCACTGTACTTAGCCACCGGCAGATGCACAGCCAGCCTTTATTAGAAGAAACAGAGTGGGCTTCCTCAGAGGATACACGTGCACAGAGAAGACCGAGCCTGTAGGATGTGCCCAGCCATCATACATGATGGGCACCAGGCAAATGAGACTCAACTGCTGCCCTCCAACGTGCAAAGGGCTCAGGGAGCTATGGGTCAGTGGAACCCAGAGAAGAACCTGGAACACTTCGAGGCAGGGTATGGGGCCAGCAGTTAGATGAAAAAGCCCTGAGGTGAGGCAACTACCAGTAATTCGATGTATCTGGAGGCTCCAGGTCATAAAGAAGCCACTGAAGGAGGGGAGCACCACGACTGCTAAGGTTCTTCCTAACCGCAAAAAGCCAGATGCCTGCAACCTTCTTAGAATTACTATTTGGTGAAGTAGCAGCCTGGATTAGTAGTACCAGCAGGGGGCAGTGGAGACTGAGTCTGAGTCCTCCTTTTAAGCTCAGAGAGCCCAACCCTCATCAGTCTGGCCTAGCCTACTCTTAACCTAACCCAAGCAGGAAGGAGGGTCCTGAGAGCAGAGATGTGCTGAAGCCATTCTCTCTCCAGGATGAGCTGCAGAGAATTTCTCCCATCTGGGCTCTGCCGAGACCTGGCCCATTTAAGGATGGGAGCTGGAGGCTCCAGGCCACTACAGCTCTTAAGGAGTTGTGAGCCAGAGACAGGGATCTGCAAGTCAGAAGCCAGGCAGACACAGTGCAGAGAGGGAAGGAAACAGGTGTTTGTGCTGAGACACTGGTTGGTATGGGGCAGGACAGTGAGATGCATTCCTCTCAGGATGCAGAATACTGGTGGAGCAGGTCATCTACTCTTAGAAGCTGCCTCCTGCACTCACTGAAATGCTCCAGATCAAAACTTGGACTTCTGAACTCCTGGCTTCATAAAAGGTTTAGCCTTCTGGCCTCAGCGCCTGATTCAGGAGGTGACAGCTGGAGCATATGCAGGTGCCCAAAGCTACAGGTCCACCTTCCCTCTGCCCTCCCTACTCAGCTGTCTGCCTGGGCTAGAAGCCACACACAGCCTGGGCATCCCCCATCAGGTCCAGCCCCACACGGTGGGCAGGAAGTGAGGGGCTCCCCGAAGCAGTGACAGGATGTGGGGCGGCAGGCAAGGTATACCTTGGTAGCTGGTGCTGCCACTGCTGCTGAGGTAGGACTCCACCAGGGGGGCTTGCTCCTCCGACTGCCGGGCCCGCCGGCTCCGGGGCCGCCCATCTGCATTGGCCTGCACCATCAGGGGCTCCTGGCGCTTCTTCTTCTGCTTCTGCTCCAGCAGGGCCCGCTATGGAGGCAGAGAGCGTGGCTGACCCACTGCCTCCACCAGGAAGGAAGGGCTCCCAGTTCTCAGTGGGTCCACAGCCCACCTTGGGCCAAGGCCCCATGTCCTTGGAACCCCAAGACTTGGGGTCCAGGAAAAGGAGGCAAAACAGGGTCCAGGTGGCTGCCTTGACAGGATCACAGCACAGGCAGCTCTCCAACTGCAGTCACCCAGCTGCCTGAGGGGTAGAAGCCCATGTGCCGTGCAGGGTTAGTGCTGAGCTGGGAGAGAGTGCACCTCTCTTCTTCCACATGGAATCCCATTCCCCAGTCGGACGGGATCATCCAGGGAAGATGGACAGCCCTGCCCCTCTGCCCTTGGAGATCCCAGCCCAGACTCTTCCCTTCCACCCAGCCCCAGGCCTACTCACCTGCCGATCAAGCTTCTGCTGCCTCAGGTTTCTGCCCTCATCATCTAAGACACTGCAGAGTGAAAGAGGGGTTTTCAGGGCTTGTCCATGAGGTGCCAGGATATATCCCAGAGCCCAACCCCAGCATATCTGGGCTCTTTAAACCCATCCCATCATGGCTTCTGGGACTCAGTGAGCCCACATGGTAGAAGGAGGAAGGGTGGAGCCTGCCATCTTGAAACCAGCTTGAACCAAAAGGGCTTGAGCTGCCACTTTGGAATCCTGCTAGAACCCCTGTTTCCCCAAGCACACCCCAGTAAGTACTGGATGAGACCCTCCCCTCAGATCCCTGAGCAGGGCCAAGCCTGACTGAGATCCAGGAAAACTATCCAGAGGCATCCCAGCAACAAGCCAGGTCCAAGGCCAGGCTTCAGACAAACCCAGGGTGCTGCTCCCTCCAGCTGCCTACTGGGATCTCACCAGCCCCAGCCTTTCCCCTCCTTTCCACCATTCTAGAGGAGGCTGCGGTCCTCTGGGACAGACCCTTTCCCCATCCATTCAAAGCAAACTCCTAGCTTTCCAAGTGGGCAGAATAGAGTGCTGACTTTGTCTACTCCTCTTCCCCACTTAAAGAGGGCAGAGGGTCCTCCTCATTTGAGAGAATGAAACTAAGAGACTAACCAGTCCCTCAGTGTACAGGGCTTGGGCCACACAGAGTTGTCTGCAGGGTGGACACAACACATCAACGTACAGCCCAGCAACCAGCCACCGGGTCCTTCCCAGGCTATAGACATGGCACAGGCAGCCCGGGGGACATCAAATCCTTGAGCCCCACAAGTCTTGGGACAGGGAGCCTCATCTCACCCAGACTGGCCGTGCCTCTGAGGAAGTCAGGGCACAAGTAGGGAGCTGGTAACTCAAACCACTTGGCTTTTGGCTAGCCAGAGACACATGCATGAGACCTAGGCCCAAATGCTACAAAGGCCAAGGTGTGGGCAGCTGCATGGGGTGAGGTTGGAGCCTGAGGATCTGAGCTCTGGGAAGCCCCAGGCGGCCCTGGCCCAGTTATTCTGAAGCTGCCCCTGAACCATACTGTGTGCGGGTACCTGCACAGGCATGCCCGAGTGCATTAGGTTTGTGCGAGGCCATAAGGAAGTGTGTGAATATCTCGTGTGTGTGCACACATGCATGCAGACACCTGTGAAGAAGTGGGTGTGCTTGTGTGAAGGTGAGTGCAGTGTGCGTGTAAGGGTGAAACATGAGGTCACATCACCCTGAGGACAAAGTGAAGTCACTTTCACCTCCTCCTGATGGCTAGCCCTTTCTAGCTGGAACATTCATTGACCTACATGAGCCTTAAACTACTTACATCTCCAAGGGAGCCAGTCAGAGGGTAGAAGGAAGCCCCCATATCACAGACTGCCCACCACCCACCACCTTGGCCACCATCTATGAGGACTATGCACGTTTTTAACTAGAAGCTGTCCTGCCTACTTGACAGCTGGGAAGGCCTTTCCTGGTACCCACGGGCTGCTCTGCATGCCTGAGGAACCCCAACTGTGATCTGGGGCTGTGCAGAACAGCCTCATTCACCAAACCCTCAGTTGCCAGAGCACAGGAGAAAACACTGCTCAAGAGCCATACTTCCAGGCCTCAGTCTTCCTGAAACAGCCCATCTGCCTAAGAGGGCACAGCTGCATTTGGGGCTCCCCGAAGGCATTGCCAGGACCACAGGATGCAACCAG